CTCGCAGCTCCCTGGGTGGCTGCGAACTTGCAGCTCGCGCCACTTTCGTGGGCTCCTGGGAGACACGGCGGAGTCGGGGAGTACGCGCATCCAGCCGAAACCTCGCTGCTTCCTGGGTGGCTGCGAACTGCGCAACTGTCGCTGCTTTCGTGGGCTTCTGGGAAGCACGGCGGGGTCGGGGAGTACGCGCATCCAGCCGAAACCTCGCTGCTTCCTGGGTGGCTGCGAACTGCGCAACTGTCGCTGCTTTCGTGGCCTTCTGCGAAGCACGGCGCAGTCGGGGAGTGCGCGCATCCAGCAGAAACCTCGCTGCTTCCTGGGTGGCTGCGGACTGCGCAGCTGTCGCTGCTTTCGTGGGCTTCTGCGAAGCACGGCGGAGTCGGGGAGTACGCGCATCCAGCCGAAACCTCGCTGCTTCTGGGTGGCTGCGAACTGCGCAACTGTCGCTGCTTTCGTGGGCTTCTGGGAGGCACGGCGGAGTCGGGAAGTACGCGCATTCAGCCGAAGCCTCGCTGCTTCCTGGGTGGCTACGAGTAGTGCATCTGTCGCCACTTTCGTGGGCTCCTGGGATGCACGGCGGAATCGGGGGCCACGCCACGCACACCCAGGCGGGACCTCGCTGATCCCTTGGTGGCTGCGAACTGCGCAACTGTCGCCACTTTCGTGAGCTCCTGGGAGGTCCAGCGGAATCGGGTGCCACGCGCACCCATTTGAGACCTCGCTGCTCCCTGGTATGCTGCGAACTGCGCATTTGTCGCCACCTTCGTTGGCCCCTGGGAAGTCCAACGGAACCAGGGGCCGCTCGAATCCAACTGAGACCTCGCGGCTTCCTGGGTGGCTGCGAACTGCGCAGCTGTCGCCACTTCCGTGGGCTTCTGGGAGGCACGGCGGAGTCGGGAAGGACGCGCATCCAGCCGAGACCTCCCTTGGTGGCTTCGAACCTTGCAAGTATCGCCACCTTCGTAGGCTGTCACGGCGGAGACGAGGGCAGCGCAGATCGTTCGTGCACATCTTGCGATGTGTTCTTGTGTATGGAGCGTTCATGCAAATCTTCGCCTCGCGTGGCGAAGGGATTGGGTCCGTCCCAGGCAATTGATGAACGAGTGCGCGCGCATGATAATTCAACAGGGGCGACGGGAAGCGATGAGGGTCCCCCTGGGATGGCATGATTTCGAACTGGCAATGAGCGATGGGGCAGACTCACGCATAAATCGTACTAGACCAGGGTGGGAGGATAAGGGCCCGAGGGGGGGGGGGCTGGTGGTGGTTGTAGATCCTAACCTCCCTTTGGACAAGAGAATAAAATAATCGATTGAAGGGGCCCTGAGACACACACACACATAAATAGACACAAATAACAAGATTCCCCATACTTTCCCATATTTTCTGGGTTTTTATGTTCCCCCCCACATCCAGATTTTCGTATATTTTCTGGGGGATCGGCGATTAATGGTGTCTGCGTGTTTTTTCCCTCCTGATCTATGCCGTGCAATCACAGAAAGTCCGCCGACCCTGTCGGCGTGTGTGGGGGACTTGTCTGCTCGAGTCGTCGTCTCCGTCAGTCGTCGTCTCCGTCGTCCCCTTTCCTTGCGCCCTCCTCCTCAAGCTTGTCAGCGGGAGAAACATCTAGCAATGTCGCAATCGAGTCGAAGGGAAGCCCCTTCCCCTTGATCTCTCCCCGTCGGGGGGGGTCCGGGGGGGTCAGGTACGCATCCCCCCCATGGGGGCCCCGAGGCTTCGGAAGGTACCAAGACAGACCAAGAGTGCCCCAAGAGGCGCCCGAGACGGTCCAAGAGGGACCCCAATCGCCAAACGATCGGTCTCAAACGCGTTCACGCCCTCCAGATTGCCCAGGAGGCCTCCAAGACGCCTCCAAGAGCACTCCCGAGAAGACCCCAAGAGGTCAAATTCATTGATGCTTAAGAACAGTGGGCGTTCTCGCCTTTTCCACTTCCCGCCGCTCCAAGACGGCGCAAGAGGCCCCCAAGATCGTCGCAAGACGGCCCAAAAGGCCTCCAAGAAGGCCCCCAAACAGCCCAAGAGGACCCCACGACAACCCAAAACGCCTCCAAGACGGCCCTAGAGGCCCCCAAGACGAAGACGTCTCCAAGAGCGTGCCTGGACGGGGGGCCCGAACGGACATTTCGAGCCCTCGGCCCCAAGAAGCTCCCAGGAGGCCCCAAGAAGTTCCCAAGAGGTCCCCAAGAGGCCCCAATAGGCCCACAAGAGGTCCCCAGGAAACCCGAAGAGGCCCCCAAGAGGCTCCCAAGAGGCTCCCAATAGGCTCCCAAGAGGCCCCGACATTCCTCCCCAGAGGCCCCCGAGAGCCTTCCGAAGAGACCCCAAGAAGCATCCGTCAGGACTCTGGCCCACGTCAGTGTCGTCGTCGTCGCCGCCGCCGTTGTCGTCGTCGGCGTCGTCGTCGTCGTCGTCTCCCTTCAAAGTCGGCGGCGCCGGCCGGAAGGCCTTCGCAAGAGAGCAATACATGCCGTGCAATCTATGCAGTGCAATCTATGTGTTGGAATCCACTTTGACCGTCTTGAAGCTGTCCTCTCCACTGCTCGTGCAAACATCCCACCCTCCCACCCGCAACTTGGTCGCAAGACCTCTTAAGACAATACCGTGACGGTAGGTACCAGATGGCACTTGGCCACGACAGCGACGCCGACGACGACAGCGACAACGACGACGACGGCGCCGCCGACACCGACGACGACGACACCGACGACGTCTCCAACGACTTCGACGACGACAGCGACGACGACGACGACACTGACGACGACGACGACGCCGACGCCGACGACGATGACAATGATGACGACGACGCCGACGACGACGACGCCGACGCCGACGACGAAGACAACGACGACGACGACGACAACGCCGTCGCCAACGAAGACGACGACGAGGGAGGAGGGAGGACGACGATGGCGACAACGACGACAACAACGACAACGACGAGGGAGGAGGGAGGACGGCGACGACGCGAACGACGAAGAAGGAGGAAGGACGGCGACGCCGACGACGACAACGACGAGGGAGGAAGGAAGACGCCGACGACGACAACGACGACGACGACGACGACGGCGACGAAATAGGAGGGACGACGACGAGACGCCGACGACGGACGACGCCGACGACGAAGACAACGACGACGACGACGACAACGCCGTCGCCAACGAAGACGACGACGAGGGAGGAGGAGGACGACGATGGCGACAACGACGACAACAACGACAACGACGAGGGAGGAGGGAGGACGGCGACGACGCGAACGACGAAGAAGGAGGAAGGACGGCGACGCCGACGACGACAACGACGAGGGAGGAAGGAAGACGCCGACGACGACAACGACGACGACGACGACGACGGCGACGAAATAGGAGGGACGACGACGAGACGCCGACGACGGACGACGACGACGACGAGGGAGGAGGAGGAAGGACGACCACGGCGACAACGACGACGGAAACGACCACGACGCCAAAGAGGACGACGACGACGAACACGAGGAAAGACAGAGGACGACGTAGGCGACGACGACGACGCGGGAGGAGGGAGGACGGCGACGACGACGACAACGCAAGAGCGCGCGCGCACGCTTTTGTTGAAAATCCGTGTTGCGAAACCTTGGGTTTTTGTAGGTTTATTGGACACACGATTTTGACATCCTTCCGAAACCGATGGGTTTTGAAGGATTTCGGCATACGCGCGCGACGTCGCGCGCGTCTGCACTTCGTTCCATTTTTTTGCAGAGGATTCTCGCGACGGCACACGCGCAAGGGCGTTCGACAGATTTCGACATGCGCGCGCGAAGCCCGTTTAATAACATTTTGTGAAAATCTTGAAAAACCTATGGTTTTCTTAAGATTTCGCAGGAGCTCGCGCGGAAGCTTTTTCAGCAAAGGATGGACGAGTGTGCAGAATATATATATATATAATATATATATATATAATATATTATATATATATATATATATATATATATATATATATGAAATTATACAATCCCAAGGGGAAGCGTTAAATCCGGGGGGGGGGGGGTAGAGTCTATTTATTCTCTTTTTAGAAAGGAGAATCCTTGCTGCGGCGACGAAGCGGCGAGGGGGAAGCGCCATAGTACCCAGACCGACCGTCAGGCCCAGACGACGGGCGGCGACTAGGCGGCGACGGGGCGGCGACGGCCGCGACGTAGCCGCCAGACCAACCTTCGGGCCCAGAGGACGGGCTGCGACGAGGCAGCGACGGGGCGGCGGCGGCGGCTATCTAGCCGCCAGACCGACCTTCAGGGCCAGTTCCACTGTTTGGGGGATCTTGCGAGCCTGGTCATGGCCACTGTAGGTCCTGCCTCCCCCCCCTCCCCCCCCCCCCCCCCCCCAAAGATCAAAAGAACACCATCGGAGCAAGCCAACGCTATACAACGATGTCGCCTCTTGGCACGGCCCCCCCCCCAAAATACGTCTCGCACTGCGAGAGGAGTGGCAATTCGCAGCCACGAGTGGCTAGGACCAAGACCCTCATGAGGCACTTGCCCCGTCGCTTTCTACAGAGCGACACCAGTGATGTTGAGTTTCGGCCAGGAGGGCATTCATTGAGCAGCCAGGGCAGACACATCACGATGAGCTTTGATGGCGCGAGCGAGCCGGTCTGATTCTTCCGAGGATGGCTAGGAGTGCCTGATAATGATGCTCTTTGCAACAATCTCGGCAAGGTCATCCGCCTTCTTCAAACAACCGCTGCGAATCGGTCAGCTCGGGAGAATCAGCAACGCGAGCCATCACTTTGAACAACAACCCATCAACAACCTAAGGGTGTGCGCGCGCGCGTGCGTGTGTGTGTGTGTGTGTGTGTGTGTGTGTGTGTGCGTGCGTGCGTGCGTGCGTGCGTGCGTGCGAGCGTGCGAGCGTGCGTGCGTGTGACATGGCCGCCCAGCCGCCCCGCCGCTCGACCACCAGCCTTGTGGGGGAGAGGCGGCGGCGGGATCGCGCTGGGGCCCGCGCCCCGAAGCCGAGGAGCAGCGCGAGGAAGGACCTCGGAAGGGGCCGCGGCTCCGGACCGGCGAGTCTTTGGCCTCGAGGCCTCGGGCGATGTTCGTCGGCTTCCGTCGGTTTTCCAGCCCTGCGGCGCTCTCCATCAGCTGCACCCCGTCGAGAGCGCGCCAGGGGTGCCTGGAACGTCCCCAGCGGCCGCCGGCAGGAGGGCCCCAAGAACGGCCAAGAGGGCCCCAATAGACCCCGAGGCAATCCAAAAGTGTCCCGAGTCGCCCAAAGATCGCTCCAAGACGCCCAGGATGGCCTCCAAACGGCCCAGAAGGCCCCCAAGACGCCCATAGAGGGCTCCAAGAGGCACCCCAAGAGGGTCCTGGGAGGCCAGAATCATTGACTTTCCCAAAAACTTTTGGTAGATTTTGGCGCTCTCGCCTTTTCGGGCTTTGATGTTTCAAAGACGGCCCAGGAGACCACCAGAAGGGCCGGCAGCCCGAGAGAAACTCCAGAGGGGGGACACGAACCGACATTTCGAGCCCTCCGCCCCAAGATGACCGCCAGCAGGCCCCCTAAATGCCCAATGGATGCTCAAGGAGATCCTAAGATGCCCAAGTTAGGCTCCAAGAGGCCCCCAAGCGGCTGCCCAAGGGGCCTTCAAGACACCCCAAAAGCGCCTCCAAGACGCTGCTGAGAGGCATCCCAAGAGATCACCACATGCATCCAAGAGGCCTCAGACCTACAACCCAGGCGCCGTGGCGGGATGGGTCGAAGGCCACTGTGTGTATCTATACATCTATGTGCATAGATCTACACATTCGCCTTCTCGGCTTAAGGGTTTCCCCTGGGCTTCTTGCGCTGGGCTCCTTGCCCCAAGCAAGCCTCAAAAAATATCGATATTGCCCAAGAGGGCCTAAATGCTTCCGGTATCACTCCAAGACGCACCGCAGAAAGGGTCCCTGGGGGCGATTCTTCTGACTCCACTGGGGTTCATCTAGGAATCTTCTTCTGTTCTTGCTTCTCGCACTGTGAAGCGGTATGGTACAAACCTGGTCGGCGCAATATCTGTGCAGGTAACGCGTCTCCTCCCGACCTCAATCATATCCTACCCAACGAGTACAGCGCGAAAGCAAACGTGTGCGAGGGAAGCTCGGGGGCTCGACCCCAAATAAAAGCCATATCAGGCAGTGTTTTGAAACATGCCAGTGCGATGCCCTCCGTTCACACCTCCATCGACTCGTGCTGCTGCTGGGAAATCTGTGGCGCTAGCCTAATCTGCCAAACTAGTCTCCGCGAATCGCAGTGATGACGGTGCGCACTGTCTGTGGCTCGATGATGGTGCGCGAAATCGCAATGGCAAGTTGGCGCCCAACCGCACCTAGCCTGAAGCCCTCCGGCCCTGCGGCTTCAGGGATCAGCACTTCACAGGCCTTCCTTCCCCTCCCCTCCCTCCCCAGCTCTCTGCCCACTGGGCGGGGGAGGGGCGCAGGGCACTGCGGGGGGCGGCGCGTCCTGGCGGGCGTTTTTTTTTCCCAACCCTCCTTGGTTGGGTATTCGTTTTGAATAGAGCAGTGTGGTCGCGTCCTTCCTCCTCCCGCCTCCCGCCTCTTTCCTGCCTCTTTCTGTCTTGCCTGCGGGGGGCTGCGATCTGTGAAACTGTCGCCACTTTCGAGGCCTGCTGGGGGGCCCAGCACAGTGAGGGCGACGCGCGGACCCAAATTAGACCTCGCCATTCCTGGGGGGCTGCGATCTGTGAAACTGTCGCCACTTTCGAGGCCTGCTGGGGGGCTCAGCATAGAGGGTAATCGCGGCAGATTCAAATTAGACCTCGCCATCCCTGGGGGGGGGGGCTGCGATCTGTGAAACTGTCGCCACTTTCGAGGCCTGCTGGGGGGTCCAGCATAGAGGGTAATCGCGGCAGATCCAAATTAGACCTCGCCTTCCCTGGGGGGCTGCGATCTGTGAAACTGTCGCCACTTTCGAGGCCTTCTGGGGGGTCCAGCGTAGAGGGTAATCGCGGCAGATTCAAATTAGACCTCGCCATCCCTGGGGGGATGCGATCTGCGAATCTGTCGCCATTTTCGAGGCCTGCTGGGGGGCCCAGCACAGTGAGGGCCACGCGCGGATTCAAATTAGACCTCGCCATCCCTGGGGGGCTGCGATCTGCGAAACTGTCGCCATTTTCGAGGCTTGCTGGGGGGCCCAGCACAGTGAGGGCCACGCGCGGATTCAAATTAGACCTCGCCATCCCTGGGGGGCTGCGATCTGCGAAACTGTCGCCATTTTCGAGGCCTGCTGGGGGGCCCAGCACAGTGAGGGCCACGCGCGGATTCAAATTAGACCTCGCCATCCCTGGGGGGCTGCGATCTGCGAAACTGTCGCCATTTTCGAGGCTTGCTGGGGGGCCCAGCACAGGGAGGGCCACGCGCGGATTCAAATTAGACCTCGCCATCCCTGGGGGGCTGCGATCTGCGAAACTGTCGCCATTTTCGAGGCCTGCTGGGGGGCCCAGCACAGTGAGGGCCACGCGCGGATTCAAATTAGACCTCGCCATCCCTGGGGGGCTGCGATCTGCGAAACTGTCGCCATTTTCGAAGCCTGCTGGGGGGCCCAGCACAGTGAGGGCCACGCGCGGATTCAAATTAGACCTCGCCATCCCTGGGGGGCTGCGATCTGCGAAACTGTCGCCATTTTCGAGGCCTGCTGGGGGGCCCAGCACAGTGAGGGCCACGCGCGGATTCAAATTAGACCTCGCCATCCCTGGGGGGCTGCGATCTGCGAAACTGCCGCCATTTTCGAGGCCTGCTGGGGGGCCCAGCGCAGTGAGGGCCACGGGCAGATTCAAATGTGACCTCGCCATCCCTGCGGGGCTGCGATCTGTGAACCTGTCGCCACTTTCGAGGCCTGCTGTGATCCCCGTTTTCGAAGTGGGTAGGAGTGCTCAGGAATTGTAAATCATCAGCTTTTCAAGCCCTTTTCCTGTAGCCAATGTCCTGCGAGTCTCCCGAATTCCGTCTGCAGACATATGTAACCCTCGCTCCGTCATCGCCCCCTTATAAAGTATCCTAAACTATTTGCGCCCCGCTTTTGCGCAGGGGTTGGGTACGTCGCCAGTTTTTTTTTTTTTTTTTTGCCTCGGGCGTCCTCGCGCTCCCGCAGGCCTCCCACCAGCGACTTGGCGCGCCCCCCAGGGCCCCGGGGATCCTCTTGGCGCGCCCCCGCGAGCCCCCGCATCCTCCCAGGAGGAGGAGGAGGAGGAGGAGGAGGAGGAGGAGGAGGAGGAGGAGGAGGAGGAGGAGGAGGAGGAGGAGGAGGAGGAGGAGGAGGAGGAGAGGAGGAGGAGGAGGCGGAGGAAGGGGGAGGAGGGGGAGGAGGAGGAGGAGGGAGGGGAGGAGGAGGAGGAGCCAGCCGGGGAGCCCCGCGGGGCCCCTCCGGCGGTTTCTGGGCGAGATGTCGGGCGCGTCTCCGGCTGCCGTGGGCGCTGCGAAGATCAGCCAACTTCGTGGCTACTCCGACGGTGTGACCCCGCATGAGAATCTTCCAAACCCAGGTGCCTCCTCCTCCTCCTCCTCCTCCTCCTCCTCCTCCTCCGCTTCCTCCCCCCACTCCTAGCCCTTTCGATCAGGGTCGGCGGCACCGGCCGTCAGGCCTCTCCAATCTTCCAAACCCAGGTGGACGTAATCCTCGTTGTCGTCCTTGTGACGCCAGAGGCTCTCTCCCTGCCTGCTTATCGTCCTTCTCCGCTTCGCCCTGGCGGAGGCCCTCCTCCCGCCCCCTGCTCTGCCTCCTCCACGTCCTGCTGCCTCTTCTCCCCCGTCCGCTTCCTCCCCCGTCCCTGTTGCAAGGGCGCGCGCGTCGAGTTTCCTTGGCGCCGTCGCTGCCTCCACTGGCAATGGCGCGTTTTCCGAAGGCCAGATCGCAAAGCTGTTGGGACCCGATGGCCGCCTCGAATTACAAACAAGACGTGCGGGCCCCGTAGGGAGGGGTCTCCCGCTCGAGACTACCTCGCGTGTCACTCACAGACGAGGCTCCCGCTCGAGACTTCCTCAATATTCGAATCCCAGGAGCCCAGGAGTGAAGACAATTACAAATTGTCTGGTTGCCGCCTCGGCTTACTAACACGAAATGCGGTCCCCGAAAGGAAGGGGGCTCCCACTCGAGACTTTCTCGCGTCCTACTCACAACAAAGGAGACTCCAGCTCGAGACGTCCGCAAGATTCAAGCATCAAGAGCCCCAGAATTACGACAATCACAAATTTTCAAATGACCGCCCTGGACCCGTAGGGGAGGGACTCCCGCTCGATACTTCCCTGGTGTTCACCCGCAGACGAGGCTCCCACTCGAGACTTCGTACATATTCAGGCGTCCGGAGCCGCCCCAAAGCGACAATCACAGGATCTCCGATGACCGCTTGGGATAACAAACGTGAAGTGCGAACCCCAGAAGGAGTGGGCTGCCGATATATCCATCCTCGCAACACACTCACAGACGAGGCTTCCGATCGAGACCTCCTGCAAACACGCTTGAGGAACGCAACACATGCATTATGGGAGTTGGCCCAGGAAATCATGATCGTGATGGTCGGTGGTCATAATGATGCTGGTAAATGAGGTACGGATGAGGACGAGGCGAATGATGTGAATGAAGAAGGCGGTGATGTCATGACGACACATTACCAATACGAGAGTGTGTCGTAGTGTGCGTGTGTGTGTGTGTGTGTGTGTGTGTGTGTGTGTGTGTGTGTGTGTGTGTGTGTGTGTGTGTGTGTGTGTGTGTGTGTGTGCGTGCGTGCGGTGGTGGCGTTGATGTTGATGTTGATGTTGATGTTGGTGTTGTTGATTATGTTGCTGATACTGATAATGATGCTGGTGATGATTATGATGATGATGATGATGATGATGATGATGATGATGATGCTGATGACGATGCTGATAATGACCATGGTGGTGGTGCTGGAGAGGTTGATGGTGATGATGTGGTGGTTATGGTGAGTGTGCAAGGAGGAGAGGAGGAGAGGGGAGGTATTCCTGCGCGGGGGTGTCGAGAGAAAACAAGAGCCCGTTTAGGATGCGGGGGACAATAGAAGGAACCAACGTTTTTTTGCCACTCGGTGCCTCTGAGCCTTCTCCGAGATTCTTGCCAGGAAGCGCCAATGCCACATTGATGTTCTCTGGCAGGCTGTCGGAACGGAGCGTAATGGCTAGGAATAGAAAGGGAAGTGTGATAGAGCTCATAACACGCAATGCGTAGAGCTGGCGCGGCACTCCGAACACGTTGAGGCCAGCTCAATGTCGAACAACGCGATCTTTTCAGGAAGCGCATTCGCGTCGCTAGAACTGATTTGCGGGCAGCGTGTCTGGAAGCCCTCCGATGTGCTCACGCCAATCACTTCGCCACGTCGTGGGGGCAGAACGCCCAGCTCGCCGCGTAGGCTGCTGGCGCCGTCGGGGCCGCGGACGGGATGGCGCACCCCCTGTCCGAGAGGCGCATGGTGGCCTGCAGCGTGTGGGGCTCGCCTGGTTAGCCCACGCAGAGTAAGTGTTCCAGCGCCGTAGCACCACCTCATCGAGCTGCTCCACCCAGGTGCCATGCAGGTAGGATCGTATGTGGTGGGTGACGGACATTGCGCGTGAGTCAGCAGAAAGTTGAGGTAGGCCTCGGCAACCAATCCCGCCTTTCGGAGTTCTCGGAGCCGTCGGGTGAAGGCCTGCGCCTGCTGCACTGCCGCTGCGCCGCCTTCCCTCGTGTGCACTTGGATCCAATCTTCCTGCTGGTCCAACCACGTCGCCGTGTTGCCCACGCACTTCAAGTGGTCGATTCTGAGCGAGCAGACAGCTTCTGGGAGGTCGCTTTCTCGGCTCCTTTCCTCCCTCCCTCTCCTCCCTCCTGCCTCCTCCCTCCTCCCTCTTGTTCCTCCTGCTCCTCCTCCTCCTCCTCTTCCTCCTCCCTACCTCCTCCTCCTCCTCCTCTTCTTCTTCTTCTTCCTCCTCCTCCTCCTCTTCCTCCTCCTCCTTCGCCTCCTCCGACTTCTCCTCCTCTTCCTCCTCGTCGTGCTCCTCTTGCTCCCCCCCTCCTCCTCCTCCTCCTCCCTCCTCCTCCTCCTCCTCCTCCTCCTCTCCTCCTCCTCCTCGTCCTCCTCTTGCTCCCCCCCCTCCTCCTCCTCCTCCTCCTCCTCCTCCTCCTCCTCCTCCTCCTCCTCCTCCTTTTCATCCTCGTCCTCCTCCTCCTCCTTTTCCTCCTCTTCCTCCTCCTTCCTCCTCCGCGCTCCGAGGTCGGCGCAACCAAATGACCGCCTGGGACGCGGGGTACAACTGCTCGAACACGTGCCTGGTCTGGCCCGCGCCGCCGGGGAGGAGGAAGGGGGTGGGGGGAGGGTGAGGAGGGGAGGTGGGGGAAGGAGGGAGGAGGGGGAGATGGGGAAGGGGTGGGTGGGGGCAGTCGTGGGAGAGAGGATGAGGAGGAGGATGAGGAGGAGGGGGAGGATGAGGAGGAGGAGGAGGAGGAGGAGGCGGAGGAGGGACGAGTGGGGAGGAAAGCCCCCGCCCACGCTAGACTCCACCGCACCCAGGCCGATCGTATCGTATCGCATCGCTTGTGCGAGGACTCGAGCAGGTGAAACGTGCGCGATCGAGGTCACAATCGCGCATCGAACGACTCCTCTCTTTGTCCTCAACCATTCCAAAGGGCTTGGCGACTCTTACCCAATCAGCTTGCGGGGATCAAGCCAGATAAACCGAGGTATACTAGGCGCACCGATGTAAATGCATAGGGGTCGAGGTCGTTCCAGAAATACTTATTCAGCTTGATCTGTACCGCTCGTGGAGACTTCGGCGCGAGTCCAGGCATAGCAGACGTCGCTAAGCCCTTAACGAAATCGTCTAATGTCGCTGCCACGTCGACAACTCGACGAAAGTAGCAATGTATCTAGCGATCATGAAGGCTCGGGAATGTCGCAGTCGCGCGCGAATGTCATGTGTGAAGGCTCTGGGCCCTGTACGGCTGCGTTGACCTCGGAGAAGGCTTGACAACCTATCGCAAGATTGCCAAGAAGCCCGGGGTATCGCAAGGGCAAGCCTTTCCGAGTCATGTTTCCGCAGGCCCAATCTATCGAACAACCTACTTATATGATGTACGATCTGGTGTTCGCTTTTGGTCTTGTTCTTTGCATCTCCCAACGACGAGATGGTCCCCGACGGTCGCACAACTAACAAAGATCCGGAAGGCCAGAACACAGGATCCGCGAGGCTCTTGCGCATACGGGATGTGATCCACAATGATGAATGTTTTGTCACACTAAGGCCGCGCTAACGGCGTGCTTGGTTAACGATGCGGCTGGGAATCTGGTTTTTGTGACACCTAGCTCACGAAGAACACCATTTTGGAAATTACGAAAGGCCGTCTCCTACAGTTCATAGATGCAAATGTACCGAACGAAAACGACACAAGGAGTCATAGGAAAACGCGGACCACGCGTTCCAACAAGTGGCTTGGCCACGCACCGCGCTTTCCTACAAGTGGATTTCCTGCTTCGCCGTCAGCTGACACACCGTTAACGCGTCTACGGTCACACGTGGAACAGCATGTCGGCCTGAGCACGTGCTCTGACACGCTGTTTTTTTTTCTCAGGATCAAGGCTACAAGTACGTTGGCTGCGACACACGCCGCGCGCGGCGGCTCACGGGCCAAAGTGCTGACGTTTCGGGTGCACGCTGCGTTGATGCTTCCCCTCGCCATGCGCTGCTGACGCTGGTTGCAGTACACGCCTGCTTCGCAGACATGGCGTGCCACCCGCAGGTGCGCCAGTTTTTTGTTTAAAAAATAAAATAAACTAATTATATATGTGTGTGTACATATATAAGGGTCACAACAAGCAGACGGAACCGTGGAGCCCGCCCAGAGGCAGCGCCCCCCGCCACCCGAGGACACCTCGAGCACCGAGGGCAGGGCCCAGGGCCTCGGCATCTCCAGGGGGCCAGCCTGAATGGGGCCCCGGGACACACAAATACATTGAGCCAAAACGACAGGATTCCCCGTGTTTTCCAGTGTTTTCTGGGATTTCGTCGTCCCGCCCCACTTCCCATATTATTTTCCAACATTTTCCTGGGAGTCGGCGATTCGTTGTGTCAGTGTGTTTTTCCCCCTCCTGGCAGTCATCATTTCACGGCCCGCGCCGAAGTGACGCATCGCCAGGACTTCCTCTTGTGAGCGCTTCTTAATTTCGCGGTTCGACACTGGGCGGAAGGGGGGGGGAGGGGGAGGGGTCTGGCTCCGGACCTCTGCTTCGTGCGACCGTTTGGAACAACGCGCCCATGATGGGGGAGGGACTCCACCCGCTCGAAACGGGCGCCAAAAAACAGCCAAGATCTGCCCCACGAGGGGGGCAAGGGGGGGGGGGAGGGGTGTTGTGGCCCGCGCCGATCGGCAAACCACCGAGCAAACAAAAACTGCTTCCCCCCGCTGTCTGGCCCTGCCATGCGCGACGCGCCTGCAAGATGTAGAGGCGCTCCGATTTTCTCGAGAGAGCAGTCGCCGCCAGCACTGAACGATCACCCCCTCCCTCCCGCTCCCCTCTTCTTGCGCCGGCTGCGGGGGCGCTCGGGCGCGCCTGGAGCGTCGGGGCCGCTCCTGCTGCTTCCTGCTCCCCCTCCTTCTCCGTCCTCCGTCCTCCGTCCTCCTCCTCGTCCTACTCCTCCTCCTCCTCCTCCTCCTCCTCCTCCTGCTCCTCGTCCCCCCTCCGTTCTCATGCTCCTCTTCCGTCACGTTTCCTTGCAATTGCCTCCGCCTCGTCGCGCCGCCACGTGTGTTGGCAGGTCGAGCCGGGCGCTTCGCGAGCGACCTTTCTTTCGTAACTTCTGGGCATCAGGCTCGGCGTTTCCAACAACTGCACGGATGCATTGCGAACTGCTTCCGCAACGTGCGTCTCTCGCCTCAGCACTCGCTCACATTCGTCTTCGAACTTCTCTGCATGCACAAGGGTGGGGGGGAGGGCCGTTTTCAATAGCGTCGTTGGTAAACCAGTTGCGTTCTGGTGATCCTCTTCTTCTTCTTCTTCTTCTTCATGTTCACCTTCTTCTTCTTCTTATTCTTCTTTCTCCTCCTCCTCCTCCTCCTCCTCCTCTCCCTCCGCCTCCTCCTCCCTCCTCCTCTCCCTCTCCCTCCTCCTCCTCCTCCTCCTCCTGCCCCTCCTCCCCCGCCTCCCCTTCCTCCGCCTCTTCATTTCTCCTCCTTCCCGCTCTTCTACTTATCGCCCTCCCCCGCTTCCCCCTCCTCCGCCTCCTCTTCCTCCTCCTCCTCCTCCTCCTCCTCCTCCTCCTCCACGTCCTCCCACTCTCACCCCCCCTTGCCCTCCACCTCCTTCTCCCTTCTTTCCCTCCCCCCCTCCTCCTCCCCGTCGTCGCCCTCCCCCCCCTCAATCTCTGGAAGGCGGGGGGACAAGATGCGCGCCCGAAGACTGTGCAGTTCTTCCAAACCTACAAAACGGAACGCGACTCATCGCATCCCGCTGCGCGGCGCGCCTGCGTGCCGCCCGAGCGGCCGGCCGCCCGCCAGCGCGACGCCCGCAGCGACGGAGGGCCCAGGGGCAGGCAGGGCGGGAGGGACCCAGCGAGGCGGTCGAGCCTCGCTCGGCCGCGGCCCATCGCTGGTCGCAGCGCGCAGCCGAGGCGCAAGGCTATACTCCAGCCGGCAAAGCAGCAGCGCCTCGTCTGGGCCCAGGCGACGGGGATGGGGGGCCCGTGCCTCACGCTGGGCAAGGGCGGCCCATCGCCCGTGCTCCCCGACTCTGAAGCTCTCCGAGGACCGCGTGTTGCCGCGCGAGAGCTCCCTGGAGGCCCCGAGGGGGGGTAGATAGAGACGAGTGCACGCGCCCCAGGGTGCATGCCATGTGCTCTCACCGCGACGGCACCCCAAGGCCTCCTGCTGCGCAGCGCGCCTATGTATCGCGTGGGTCGGCCGTCTGCGCATCCTTCTCAACATCTACCGCGCTGCCGCCTCCCCCCCCCCGCATGCGGGATGCCCCGCTCATACCACTTCTGCGTACAACAAAACGAACGCCAGTCGTGGGACACCACCCTCTCTGAATGAGACCCAGAGGGGCAGCGCGGCCCCAGCGGCGCGGCCTGACGAACCCGTGATCCAGCAGCCCTGCTGAACGGCGTAAAGTCCGCGCGAGCCCGCGGCCCGCATGCGGCCCCCTGGACATGGGACGGCATCCGGGCCTGCACGTCGCGCGCGCGCGCGCCTCTTCGCCGTCTCCAAACTCACAAATGACGTCCCGCCTTTCTCCTGCTCGGCCCAAGTCGGCGACTCGGAAGGGTGTGGTCCGCAAAGGGAATGGTCTGCAACGCGCACCCTCGGGGGCGGGGGGGGGGGCGACCTCGACACAGAGTTCCCCGCCGCGCCCCGAGGAGGCCCGACAAGGGCAGCGTGGCCTCCTCCTCCTCCTCCTCCTCCTCCTCCTCCTCCTCCTCTTCCTCCTCCTCCTCCTCCTCCTCCTCCTCCTCCTCCTCCTCCTCCTCCTCCTCCTCCTCCCTCTCCTCCCAAGCCCCAACGACGCAGATCGCAAACCACACCCCTGCGGAACCCCGCCGACCAGCGACCGCGCGCTCTCTTTCCCTCTGTGCCCCTGGCGGCGCGGCCCGGGCCGTTGCCGAGGCCCCCGGGCCGCCTCTCGCGCTGGCCCCGCCTCCGCACCTGGGGCGGCCAGCGCCGACACAGGAAAGGCGCGCGCTGGCCCGCGCTGGAACGCAAGGAAGCACAGTCCAGACGCCGAAATGAGAGGTCCAGGGATCCTGGCTCCACCAGGGCCAGGATCCCGCCGTCCTCCTTCTCCTCCTCCTCTTCTTCCTCCTCCTCCTCCTCCTCTTCCTCCTCCTCCTCCTCCTCGTCTCGTCCTCCTCCTCCCCCCCCATCCTCCTCCTCCTCCTCCTTCTCCTCTTCGTGCGCCTCCTCCTCCTCCTCCTCTTGATCCTCCTGGTCTTCCTCCTCCTCCTCCTGCTCTATCTCTCTCTCTCTCTCCCTCTCTCTCTCTCGCTCTCTCTCTCTCTCTCTCTCTTTGTCTTACCTCTCTCTTTCTCGGCCAGAGGGTTCGTCGAGCGCGGCCCTCCTCCTCCTCCTCCTCTTCTTTCTTCTCCTCCTTCCTCCTCCTTATCCTCCCCCTCTCCCCTCCTCCTCCTCCTCCTCCTCCTCCTTTTCCTTCTCTCCTCCTCGTCTCTCTCTCTCTCTCTCTTTTTATTTATTTTTTTTTTTTTTTCTCTCTCTCTCTCTCTCTGCCAGAGGGTTCGTCGAACGCGACCATCCTCCTCGTCCTCCTCCTCCTCCTCCTCCTCCTTTCCTGATGCCGTCAGATTTGGCGCTTCTGGCTCTTCGCCGCGAAAGCTTCGCTGTCGCGCCGCCGCCCCCGACGCACCTGGGGACCCACTCTGCGTCGCTCCGTAATGCCGCGGGTCACTCAGTGTGCGACGCGTAGGTCTAGGTCTATAGGGCGGCCCTGGCTTTGATTTCGAAGATTAACGTGTAAAGTGTTAGTGGGGGGCGCCGCCCCTGTCGCAGCCGCCGCTGTAACATGTGGGCCGCCGCCTCTTTCCTCTGTTTATTCCGGCGCTGCGCGCCATGCGCCCCTCGATAAGTTGATAAGCCGTGCCGCGCCCATTTGCCACCGCTGGGTTTCCGCCTCCCCGCCGCAGAACAGTTCTGACGAGTACGTGGGCTCTCGGGGCGCGATCGAGCGAGTGAGGCGGGGTCCAGGGCGTGCGGCGGGGCGCGCGTGCCCGTGCCCGTCTAGGCAAGGCGCGAGGGGCCGCCGCGTCCTCAAAATGCGGCAAGACCCCGCTCGCGCGAGATCCGCAGTGGCTGCTTGTGCTGCGCGTGGCCACGTTGTGCCGTGGAAGTCGGTGTGCAGAAGTGTCGTAGCCACTCAGAGGCTGATCTCGAAAACGTACGGCCCCGAAGCACGGGGACTGGGCGTCCGAGCGATGGCAATCATCAGGGGTCGTTCGTTCCACCTGTCCGGCGATCAGACGTGCCTGCAGTCGCTGGCGCACGTCCTCGTGTCGCTGCGGAATTTCCCCCCTGTAGATGCTTTGGGCTTGGTGGCGCCACTTTCTGACATTCCAGAAGTCGTGATGGCGCACTCGACATTTTCGCGCAATGCGCGCAATGTCATTCGTCTGCCCTGAATGCGGCAACCGACGCGTAGGATCGATCGACTCTCCCTGCGGGATACGTGCCTGGACCCAAGTACAGCGGGCTCTCCAGCAGCTCCTGAGCAAGGGTGCCGTCGAGTGCACAAGCCCTCTTCCGCCGTCTTGTCGAATGTTGCTTGGCTGCTCCACTTTGGCTCTACTTTGGAGTCCCGAAACGGTGCGGTGACCGACCGTGCGG